CGCTTACAGTGCATGAGGATTGAGGTGGGAGATAAATTGTATAAATAAATACACAGGCCTTCAGAAAGAAAACACATGACTATTAACATGTGGAGAAACATCTAGCTTCTGTATCAGTACAGCACATAAAAGGATCGCTGAACATCACAACTGACTGACTTGAGTCATCAGAGCATATCTGAAGAATGAATCCCATATCTGGAGATTTTCCAGAGCAAGACAGGAATCCTCTAAGTAACTTGTTCATGACAGCAGACAATAAAGGCTTTTTTCTTCCAATTTCAAGTCAACAGAGCAGAGAGTATAGATGCCTCAGGGGCACAGTGGATGGAAAGCTCTATGCTTTCTCACTAACATCAACATTATCCAAAGCAGCAAAGTGAAGACAGTCCTAGCACAAGTGATTTCCATCACCCTATACTAACCAGGAAACCATGGGTCAGAACAACAATTACACTATTTTTAATGGTTAGAAGTACTTTAATTTATTTAACACAATTCCTGTTAGTACAAATTTGTTTGTTTTCCTCATTAAAATGAAAGACTTCTATTATCTTTTTAGAAGAAAAAGTAAAGAGTTTTCAATTAGCAGCATGGCTCAGAAGAAGCCAAAGCCAGTGACTTCAACTTTAGACATCTGGGTTACCAGTCTGTTGAACTGGGGCCAAGTTTCATCTTCCTTCAAAAAGTATTTCTCTCAACTGCAACTTGTTTCCTTTCTTCGGAATCACAATTCCCCTCTTAATTTTTCCCAAAATTAGAAATATTGTAGACAGATATCCAATTGATAAATTTTCAGGTACAAACAGAGACAAGTGGGAATATCTGTTTTCCACAACTGTACTAATCCCAGTGCCAGGTGAAAGGGCAAGTCAGGTCTCCTCAATTTTCCATTACCAATGAGAGAAGCAAGGAACTCCCTAAATTATTTTAGCTCAATTTAATAAAACACACATAGAAAGTTGACTTGTTGATGAGGGTTCTTTATCAATGTTTGAACTAGTGATAAGTAACAGACTTATCAAGAATGGTCAATTATACATTTTCAGGCAATTCCACCCTACCCCCCCTTTTATTTTTCCCCTTTTTAAATTTATGTATGATATATTGTGGTTCCAGTTGTTATCCCTAATAATTTAAACAGAGTGGTTTGGGAATACTTGAAATATATGTTCAATGAATGCCTGTCATTTTTGTTTCATTATATTGTGATTATTATTTTCCCTATTTTGGGAGTGTAATAAATAAAAAAACTGAAAAAAGTTGAGAAGCAGCAACTAGACCAACAGAGAAATACAGAAATTTGCAGAAACCATGTACCAGAACTGAACGTCATTAATGGATGTCTTCACATAATTATTTTTCTCTGTTACCAATTTTTTTTTTAATCCGCACTCAATCATTACCGATTCTATGGCAACTGCCTGGACGAGTCCCTGCAGTTTTCAAGGCAAGGTGTTTTAGAAGTGGTTTGCCATTGCCTCCTTCCTAGAGCAGAGCCCAGCTGGCAAGCGCAGGAGGCGGGGTTTCTGTTGCTTAGCGCCTTTTTCTGGCGTGCACGGCTTCCGCATTCCCGGCAACTTGGTCCCGTCTCCCATGCAAGCACCGCCATAATTTTTCTTCCCACCGGGGTGAGAGTACCCATTTATCTACTTACGTAAGTTTACAAGCTGCTGGGTTGGCAGGAGCTGGGAAGGAAGCAGGAGCTCACTCTGCTGCGAGGAGCTGGGCTCAAACTGCTGAAGTATCGACCATTTCTGGCCGGCAACTTTCAGCGTCATTAAGCCTTGTAAAACATTGGATTTTTTCTTTAGCTTTAAATACTGTATGTTTAAAGCATCTCGCCTGTGTATTATTTTTGTAAATTAGCCCTTCTAAAGAGTTAAGTATACAAGGGGTATGTAAAAAAAAAAAAAAAGTATCCAAAGTGTTTTAATTGTATATGTGCATTATTTAAAAATAGTGCAAAAATGTTAAAAAGTGCTTTAAACTGGCCTTCTTCCTTTTACATGCTTGCATGAATGCCTAAGTGAATGCTTAAAAATCAAATAATTCCCATGGATTTAAAAAACACCTTCAATAATATATGAGAAAAGGTGACAATAACTTTCATTTGACTATCAGCATACAATGGTCTCAAAAGTAGAGAAACATTAGTTTTAGAAAGACAAAATTTACCTGGCTTTATTAAGTTTTCTCATGTAAAGTAAGTATGTAAGAGATTAAATCTCAGCAATTTCAGAAATTTATTTACATGAATAATGCTACAAATACACAAGTAACAAGATTTTCCATGAGTCCAGCAATGCTTTTTAGTTACATAAGGCCTTATTACTGAGCTGGCTTCCTTGTAGCCTATTCTGCAGCATTCTTCAACAACTTTTATAAATCTACTAATGTGTGGAAATTCAAAGTCCCTCATGATGCAGATACAACTGTAGTCACACCTACTTTTTAAATTTAATTATTTGTCTTCAGCAGTAACTTCTACCTTTATACTACTTACATAATTTCTCATGGCGTTCTGCTTTTCTCCACAACTTTGTCTGGCCCCCTGAGAACAGTGAAAATACTGAATATAGCGATAACCTAAATTCCACTGCACTAAACCATTTTGGAAAGGTTAGAACTATTGATGTTCAGATAGACAGTAGTAGTTATATTAGTTTCTCAACCTTTGTATTGTTCTAGGAAAAACAGCAACTACAATTTGATTTTCCAATATGAATTTAACACTGAATTTCTACTGGTAAGCATGAACCCTACTACAATTAGAGGATATCAAGCAATAGTCCTTTTGCTATACTGTCATTATGAACACAACTTCCATAATTATTAATATTACACTTTCAGTATTGATTTGCATACATACGTGAGGGGAAAGGAAAAGAGCAAACATTGCTAGACTTCATATTTAATTATTTAAAATGACAACAATTTTCTAATTAAGCAAGAGATGACGCACTCGAAAGCAAACCAGCAAGCATACAATATATCTAACCTTCTCTGCCAAAGAAAGAAAAGTCTCTCAATACGAATGAAGGAAATTACTTACTGTCCAGAATAGCAATCTATTAAAATGTCTTAAGATCTCTTAAGATGTGCAATGAAAATCACTTCTAAACCATAAACTGTTTAGACAAGTTAAGAAACAGCTACAGCAATTGGCCCAATAACCTCCCATTCACCTTCTGTGGCAAACAACATCTTGACAGCACTTGACAGTTCAGAAGTCCTTGTAAATTTGCCTCTATTATCTCATGATGTCAGAACCCACTTGCACTATCCGATTATTAAATATATTCTTCCTTCCCTCTTCCATCCTGGCTAATATCTGGATAGGCTTAGAATCTGAAAAAAGTGTTTGTACAAGGAAGAAAACTAGTAAAGTATATGTTTTGTAGATCAATGAACATTTGGAGATAAAAAACCCCACAACCCTCTGGAAGAGAGAAGATAAAGCATACACACACAAACACATACAAAGTCACCTAAGCTTAATTTTAAATAATTCAAATTTCAAAATTACCCTCATATGTCAGCATTAAATAGAAACTAGCTGATGGCTGGTGAGGGTCTTCCGGGCTGTGTGGCCGTGTTCTGGAAGTTTTGTTTCCTAACGTTTCGCCAGCAT